GAAGTCCGATGTATTTGGGAGAGAATAAATTACATCAAAATAGGTATTAGTATCATGAATCCTTTGAAACTGATACTCTACGCATAATCTACCGTGCGTATGTGTGTATACGCATTGTTCATATGTATATGTGCGTCTATGTAAGTATCCGTATCCGAGTCAACGTATGTATTCCATCTAAGCAATTATAAGTTTAAAAGCAATCTCACCTCTACAATCTACGATAATTAGTTTCCCGATATCCGATATCCCATTCCAGCTCTACCGTCCGATTATAATTCTCATTTTGTCTCCCTCCGCCTTCAAATTAGGCCTAAGGAAGGGGATGACACTAATCTCATGTAAATCCTCGGTCATAACTATTGCCTTCCGGTCTGTGGCTCTCGTCTTGTTTGCTTCGAGGTCATTTGCATATGGATATGGAGGGGTGAGGGGAGGCAGATATAGAGACAGAGAGAGAGAGAATGAGATAAGGAGATAGACTGCCAGACAGAGAGAAAGAGAGAGTGATTCATATAGAGATAGAGAAAGAGAGAATGAGGTGGAGAGATAGACAGACAGACAGACAGACAGAAAGAGAATAGGGAAATAAATAGAAAGAAAGACAAAAATCTATTTTACCCCAAAGTCAGTCGAAAGAAGGAATCGCCATAGCCTTTGCCAGAGATTTCGAGACGTAAAACCTGACATTTTTGTCTTTCTTGTTTATTCCTACTTCTCTCTACATGCATTAGTTATATTTCATCCCGTTTTCCCCTCCCTTCTCGTAAAGAAAATAATATATATCTGAAGAACTTTTCTCTCTTTAAGAAGACTGACGCAAAAGTAACCAATGAGGAAATGAGTAAAGGGATACATGAGTAATATCTTTTTTTTTCTGAATTCCTCTAATGTGACGGTTAAAATCAAAATACAAATTCAAAAATAAATATATCTCAAATTCTTTTCTTTCCTCTCCCCTTTCCAGTACGAAAAAAAATATTAATAATCTTCCCCGTCAGGAATATTGAGTAGGAATAGATACACTGACTGGTGACGGAAGCAGACATAAAATCCAAAAGACCTGAATCTGAATTTCTATAATTATTTACAACTGCCGATGGACGAGGGTTGCCAGATGTCGCGAGGATAGTTGCCAAGTCGTTCTTTATCCCTACAATTTCATTTCAAGAAGGAGAAAGCAAAAGAAAATAAGAAAGTATTCACATGATGATTATGGCAATACGTAAGAGCATAACGTTGATAGAAGTGTCCCTCTCGAAGTCAATATTTTGCTAAATCAGTTTTTGTTTTTGGTAACAATAAAGTAGCATCTCAATTTTTTTTCTATAATGCACAGCAAGACACTTTTTTTTCTTTACCAAATTCTGTGCACTGATATTACAGAGTGCAATATGCAATATTCTTTTCATAACCAATAGATGTCATTTCTTTGAGGAAGGAACATATGGAAAATATGCGTTCAGAAGAAAGACTATTCTGCTGTTCCTTTTTAGCAATACTATTGGTTCATAGAAACAATAATAATGATAACAATTACTATTATGAATATTATTATTATCATTGTTGTTATCATTATTGTTATCATTATTGTTATTATCATTAGTATCAATATTATTGTTGTTGTTATTATTATTATTATTATTATTATTATTATTATTATTATTATTATTATTATCATTATCATTATTATTATCATTGTTATTATCATTATCATTATTATTATTATTATCATTATTATTATTATTATTATTATTATTATTATTGTTATTATTATTATTATTATCATTATTTTTGTTATTATTATTATCATCATCATCATTATTAATAATAAAGATATTATTATTATCATTATTATTAATAATAATATGATCATCATCATTATTATTAATATCCTTATTATCATTGTTATTATTATTAATAGTAGTAGTAGTATTATGATTATTGTTATTAACATTACTGTTATCATTATTATTATTCTCATTATCATTATTATTGTTATCAATATTATTATTCTCATTATTATTATTATTATTATTATTATTATTATTATTATTATTATCATTATCATTATATTATTATTATTATTATCGTTATATTATTGTTATTTTCATAATTATTGCAAACATTTCTATTATCATTATCATTATTACTATTTTCTATTTTTGTGTGGCAGATCAATCAAATTACAAGTTTAGTGATTCTTCTTTTTCGTAATGAAATCTTTCGAATTCGTAAATGATTTATCTCTTCTTTTAAACAGAGAATTAAAAAAATAGAAAAAGGACTGATATATATATATATGATTTTATCAGTTAGCGATTAAACTTTAAACAGAATTTCTTGGTTCGCTTACACCATTAGCCAGGAAAATGGTTTCTCAGAGCCGTCGGCGTGAATATCATTAAGTGAAAAGAAAAATGGATATGTGAACGAAAATATATCATTCATTTTTACCATTCATAAAAGAAAGGAATTTAATGACGCTAATTATGAAGAC